GACCTGCCGTAGCCCAAGCCTCTGCCATGTCTCGCCTGGGAGTCCTTTTCTTTCCCGGGAGCCGAAGAAGACCTTCGACGACAGAGAAAAAAGAAGCAGAATCTGAAGGATGAAAGAAGCACACGACACTCTGGTCAGTGAGAGAGAGAGCTTCTCTGTCATTTTCTCTTGACACGTGGTGAAGAAAAAGAAGCAGCCATGGAGGATCCCACGCTAGAACCAGAAGCCCCACGCTGGAGTCGGGGGAGTCGTCGGGGGACCGTAGCCCCGTTGGAAAAGGACTCACGTTGGAGAAGTTCTGGAGAAGGACTCTCAACGTGAGAAAGGGACTCCACATGGCAGCTGAAAAAGACTGTGAGGAGGAAGGAGCGGCAGACTGACTGCACCCCCTACTCCCCCTCCTTGTGCCGCCGGTTGGGGGAGAAGGTACAGAACAAAGCCTTTGGGCTTTGGGATGAAGGGAGGGGTGGGAGAGAAGTGCCTTTTTGTAAGATGTGGTTTCTCTCTTTCAGTATCTTGCTTCTTGTTGTAAATAGTTAATAAATTCAGTTGTTTTCTTGTTCTTCACGAATCGTGTCAGTTTCTTGCCTGTGACCCTAAGTGGTAAGTGAAACCCTCCCTGTCCCTGCCTCAGCCCACCAGGTGTTTAGAAAAGAACTGTCCCTGTGGTTTTATAAACCACAACACCAATAAAAAGGAATTTAAAAAATCCTTCCAGCTATAGCCAGAATTGTATCATGTTCTCCAAACATCTGCCTTTCCTTCTGTTCAAGAGGCAATGCACTCTAAAACAAATGAAGCTTAATTTAATTCATCTGCTTTGTAACAGCACAGGCCCTACAGATGATAATCCATCAGAAACCAGGACAAAATGTCCAAGCTGTCTGTCCAGCTGCAGAAACCAGATTCAATGCACAGACTAGAATATCTCACTCCAAACTCTAAGGCCTCTCACTGCCTTAGAAGTCTTCAAGACCATTTCTTTCCACTTTGCATTCCAAAAGAAACATTTACGGTGTCTATCGGAGCACAGTGCCAAACCTCTGCGCCGGCTTTAGCTCGCACGATCCCTGTGAGCAGCGGGGACGTTCCTCCACACCGGATGGGTTTGCTCTGACCCATCTCCAACCCATGACGCTGGCTCAGAGGGTATTTCTGAAAAAAAATCCCATTTGCCTTAAGAAAGCCAAATCAAAGCAAACCAAGTCTTTAAGGAGACTTTGAGCAACCTGGTGTAGTGGGAGGTGTCCCTGCCTGTGGCAGGGGGCTTGCAACTCGATGATTTTTAAGGTCCTTTCCAACCCAAACCATTCCGTGATTCTATGATTCTATGAAGTCCTTCTGGTGAGGACACCTCTCTCCCTCCTCACAGGTGACGGGCACTGTCCCAAGACTTTGTTCTTGCTGCTCTCAGCTCTAAAACAAGCTCAAACGTTAAACAAATCCACAAAGAAAATGTATGCTGTGGGACAAGCACAACCGGGACGGACTGAGCACCTCCGGGACCCAACAGGTAGCAGGAACCATCTGAGCTCAAAGGAGCAGGGCTGACGGATCAATGCACACGACTCCACCTGTGCTGCCTCCTTACCTTGTTTTATGAAGTTTTCGAATCCATCATAATAATTTAACAGCCAGAAGGAAACACAGAGCTCCCTGGCTGGCTATTATAGGCATGTTTTTATTTTATTTGAAAGCTCCGTCTTGCTTTAAAAAGTGGAAATTATTACTTTCTGACAGATTTAAACAGGGTCTTTGCAGCAATTAAACATTTCCTGCCAACGGTTCCTTACAAAACATTAAAATGCTCCCCAAAGCCCAATCTTCACAATCATATATAACCCAATAAGGTGACAAGAGGTTATTTTTCTCCCACTAGTATATTTATAGCTTTAAAGAAAGCCCAGATAATCTTTAGTCTTATCAGGGCAACAGAAAAGCACAACATAGGCTTGTCTTTACCTGAGTAATGAGACAAACTTGCCAACGCTGTACATTTCCAAAAATGGCAAATTTACTCACTTCAGCCCATAAATACCCAAGTTCTTTCTTTTTTAATTTTATAATGACTGATCAAATACAACGTTGACTCCTTTCCCACTGGCTTCTCTTTACACAAGTCCCTCAAAGAGCCACATGTGGCTTGGCAAACGCTCTGCCTGGTCAAACAATCGGTGGAGTACATTTGTTGGCTTTGCTTCCTCAAGGAACCGAAGCGTTTCAGCTTTGTTTGTACATACGCGTAATCCTCACCGAAACAGCAACAGCACGCGTGCCGAATTGAATCAGGATTTTACTACCTGTAAATCAGTGATTTTACTACCTGTCATCTAACTTAGGGCTGTGTGCACAAAGCTGTTGAAGGGTGTGTGCAGTAGATATTTCACAGAAATTACTGTTTTTCCTCCTTCTCCCCTGCTTAAATCAAGCTATAGCACAACCAGCCCCAGGAGGGGCATGGAGATGAAGCAGTGTGGAGAAAGAGCACTTGTGTCTCATCCTAGAATCACAGAAGGGTTTGGGTTGGAAGGGACCTTAAAGATCATCGAGTTCCACCCCCCTGCCACGGACAGGGACACCTCCCACTAGCCCAGGTTGCTCAAAGCCTCATCCAGTCTGGTCTTGAACCCCTCCAGGGATGGGGCATCCACAGCTTCTCTGGGCAACCTGGGCCACTGCCTCACCACATGCACAGGAAAACATTTCTTCCCAGTATCTCATCTAAAATCTGCCCTCTTTCAGCTTAAAACCATTACTCCTCATCCTATCTCTACACTCCCTGATGAAGAGTGCCTCCCCATCTCTCCTGTGGCCCCCTTTCAGCACTGGAAGGTGCTCAAAGGTCTCATCAGAGCCTTCTCTTCTCCAGGCTGAACAGCCCCAACTCTCTCAGCCCCATCTCCGTGGCCTCCTCTGGACCCACTCCAACAGCTCCGTGTCTGTCCTGTGCTGAGGACCCCAGAGCTGGATGCAGCACTGCAAGGGGGGGCGGTCTCACCAGAGAGGAGCAGAGGGGGAGAATCCCCTCCCTTGACCTGCTGGTCACGCTGCTGGTGATGCAGCCCAGGACACGGTTGGCTTTCTGGGCTGCAAGCACACACTGCCGGCTCATGTTCAGCTTCTCATCAACCAACACCCCCAAGTCCTTCTCCTCAGAGCTCCTCTCTATTCGTTCCACTCCCAGCGTGTATTTGTGCTTGGGATTGTCTCAACCCATGTGCAGGACCTTGCACTTGGCCTTGCTGAACTTCATGAGGTTGGCATGGGGTCACCTCTCAAGCCTGTTCAGGTCCCTTTGGATGGCATCCCTTCCCTCCAGCGTGTTCACAAACCTGTTTTATTCCTCGGCTAACAAACAGGAGTCAGCACTAGATTGGGGAGGAGGTGACAAGTCCTTGTGCTAACACAATTGCAAAAATATACACAGGGAGAAACTGATGAAACGGAGATGGAGTTTCACCAGCCTTAGAAAAGTCTCTCTGGGCCATTTTCAACTACAAATCACATTTGGATTTGACACACTGAAGTGTTTAGAAATAAATGAGTCATACGTGGCACCCGTGCAGGTTGCACACCTTCACCTGCTTTGGTGGAGATAGAAAAACGCTGATGGTGAAAATTAGTTGAAAACGATACAGAAATTGTGTAAATTAGCGCTTCCAAAAGGGTAGGAATGCCTGCAACCGCCAACACCTTCACCGAAAGGGAAGCTGATGATCAGCAGAAGCACATCCTCATCATGACAGACCAGTATTTTCAAATTCGTAACAATTATTGAGAAAGTGTTGCTCACAGTTTTGGCTAGAGCAGGATAAGGGGAAAACAGAAATTAAAAAATGGCAGGGCAGCCAGGAGAAGTTTACCTTTGGAGAACACTTGAAATGCATGCCAGGTACTGGGAGTGTAGTCACGTACATTGTAATACACCGATACAGGTATAGTGTGCCAACTATACAGAAAAATCTTCTGCTAATTATAGACCTAGGGAAAACAGAACAAAACAAAAAAAAAAAAAAGGAAAAAATTAAGGAGGTCATTCTATGCAAACCAAATATGCAAAGATGAATAAAATAAACCACCAACTGTTCTCTTCTTGATGCTTTTGAAACTTGTGACAGTATCAGCTTACACCTGAGAATACTGCATTACTTTACAAATATTCCCATGCTTTACAGGTCAGAAACACAAGAACAACTCAAACTACCACTATGCAGGAAGGTGATTAGAGGAAATGTAAGGATTAGAATACAAAAGCTTGGGCAGATTTAGTGTTTAAAGCATTAAAAGGGATTTCATGCCCCACACCCCTCCCTTAGCTTTGAGCGGTCACTAATTTTCTATTTAAGGCAGGGGATAAAGTTACAATATTTTCATTGTGAGATGGAAAGGAATAAGTTTATTTCGGCTGACACACACAATTAGTAATTACAAAGGGCTGCTTGAGAAGAAACAGTGTGTTTGACCCAAAGGAGTGAGAACACATCTTTCCTGAGCAGCATACAAGAGGAAGCCATTCACAACGGCAACGAAACCTCCAAACTACAAATATAGAGCTGGGCTGGCTACAGGTCAGGGTGTTTTCACGGGAAGCCACTCTCAAGGCAAGCAGCCATAGCTGCAAATAAATTTATTCATGGAGGGCTGCCAGCGAGACACTGACGTTTGCAGAGAGGGCAGACGGAATTTTGGGGTACGGCGATATAGTTCTGCAAAATGAGCACACACAGGGTGAAGCGCTGCAGCTTTGACTCAGGAGATACAGTCAGCCCCAAAATCAGCCTGTTGAGTTTCACCGCTATGTACTGGCTCATAATAGCACAAGAAAAGAGCTATGAGGATTCAACCCCTTCCAGCAAATCCATCAGGATGGGAGCAACCTCTGTCTGAGCTCACATGGAATGCCAGCGTTACAAAAATCCAGGGCAAATCCAGGTACAGCAGTTTGTGACCTTAACTACACCAACCCTTTGCATCCTGCTGGTTACAGACCCTGCTGTTTTCGTCTGAATTTAAATTGTCGTTACTTACACTTACAATCATTCAGGGAATACAAGGGTTACAGCACAAGCTGCAAGTTGTGGCATTCATTTGTCGCTATTTCGGAGCACTCGCTTTTAAAAAAATAGTATTTCTATCAAGCCGAGCTCTTCTGAAGCTCAAAATTTGCCATCTTTTTTATTTTTAATAGCTTTTAAGTATGAAACTGTAGTGCTCCACTCTCAGAGGAGTAGGACTTTGCAGTGCCAGATCAATAACAACTTGAGTGTCTTAATTTATCAGAAAAGCTTCAACTATTACAGTGTAAATGCATTTTGCACGCAAATGCTCACTGCCATTGAAGCACAGAACTTAGTGGGTTTTTTTTCTTCCCCCTCCTAGTGTAAACATGGACAAAGCTGAGAGTTAAAAATTACACTTTATCAACGTAGCTCCATAGACTGAAATTCAAGAGCGGAAGGCACCATGCTACTGGGGCAGTGCTTTTTCTTTGCATTTCACATGCAGAATTTTTCTCTCAGAAGGGTCATCCAATAAAGATCTCACACTTGTGCCTGGCTTTCACAACTAGACATGAACTTGCTCTTCTTTAGAACATAGTATAAAGACAGTCGGGGGGGTTGGGGATTAAAGACTGAGTAGCACCCCATTTCAAGAGCAGCAGTGTTTTATCGAGCACTTAACTTTTTTTTTTTTTAACTAAAATCACCCATGAACCTGCTTGGTTTAGCTGGATTTAACAGATTTTAGCTTAGGAAAGTCTGCGTCAAAGTGCTCTGTACTGTAATACTAAAAAAAAATGTAAAAAGCCTCATATTTTCCCTTCTCAAAAGGATTTATCAGTGTGTGCGTGTGTGATTGCAAGCCAGCCAGCAAGTACAACCTCCAAGCTTATTACTGGCCAAGGCAACTTTTATTCCAACCGTCCAGACCTCATCTAACGCGGGCAGCAAGCACGCTGCTGCTTTTCAATGCCATGAATGTGCAGACTCAATCAGACATCACGCATGGCCAAAACCCAGCATTGTACTTCTCACAAAACATCTGGGAATGCTTCCCAGAAAAGTTACTTCTCCCTTGGCAGCCTGCCTGCACTTCTTGAGCTTCCTGTGGTGTCTGTGGAAAAAAAGGCTTGAGCAGCCCAGAGTCCCCTGCCAAGACCTGCACACCCACCCTGCTCCTGCTTTTTGGTGAGAAGTCAACCCATCGCCACAGTCAGGATTCTGTAGGGATGTTGAAAGAAAGGTGTCACAGATTTCCTCACATAAAATCTAGTGCCTTGCCAGAAACTCCAGTCTCTACCTGAAGGTAAAATTAATTTTCAAGCAGAAAAACTGTAACAGGGGCCAAGGGAAACCCTGCAGCTGGACAGACACACCCAACACCCTCTTCCATGTTGGCCCCAACAGTGCAGTCCAAAAAGAAGACACGTAAGTCCTACTCAATGCCATCACGCAATCCCTGAACTAAACAAGGAAGACCTGAGTGATCAGTATCACGAATGACACATCTCTATCGTCCTCATTGCTCAGGGCAACAGCAGGCTCAGCTTGGATGAAATCAGGCAAATGATGGATCTGGTATGATGAGCAATAGGAATTTCACTGCTCTGCAAAGAAAAGAGTTTCAAGAAACTTAAACCATGAAGCTGCCTCCTTTAGTCAAATGTTCAACCCAGCCCCTGGCTGCAATTTAGCTCATGGGTAACAATGCTGCTGGTTCACCTCTGGCCCTGAGCTTGCACTCGGAGACACCCGTGAACGGTATCTCTACCATGTGAGTAGGCGAGGAACCAAGTCTCATCCTGCCCAGCAATCACCTGGCTTCATGCCTTATCTTCAGATCTCGAATGGAGTGTGGCAACAGTTATTCCTGACACCACCAGAGGTCAGAGAAGCGAGGAAGGTCTAGCTAGCTTGATTCCCCCTCTTTATTTTTGAACTAAGTTTCAAAGGGATGTGATAACCCAAGCCACAGAAGCAATTCAGTTATTTTTATAGCACTTAGTTGTTCCCCATCCACAGCCACGAGAATGAGGTCCTCAACATAATGCCACCTTGCTGGGTTCTTGTTCCCATGAGCACCTCTCCCATTCTTCTATTTCTACTGCTTACTGATAGCTTGGGCCCCTCAAACCTCTACTCATTGACATAAAAGACATCTTTTGGTCTCCAAAGCATTACGTGACCAGTACACGCATTGACAAGTGCTGACCAGCTATTCCAGGGCTGATACGGGGCATGGAAAGCTCTGAGACTCTGTGACATCTTCCCCTAACACCAAAAAGAGCCTGTCTAAAGCAAGTAAAAACGAACACAAAGCAAATGGGGATGAGGTAGGGGGAGGACATTGGACAGGGGCAGGGCAGGGGGGAATCTTCACATCTATAAAAAATACCAAATTACTTTATCATCAAGTCCACCCATGTCTCACTGCTTTGAAATCTTCAAGGACCTTATGGATTCTGCTGTTCTTAACCTAAAGACTCTGCTCAGTGCCACCACAGGGTGTTTGATCCCCCACACTGCCCTGTTAACCTGACACTCCACTCTTGAGAGCTATTCCATGTCACATTCTCTTGGTTTTGAACACGACTGATGCTCAGAGACCCCCAAAAAGTTAACGGTCCCCCACATTCACCGTCGACAACTGGAGCAGTGGGGAGAGGAGCTGGAGTGCAGTTGGTAGCACTGCAGCTACCAACAGAACAGTGATCCTGAAGCCATCAACAAACCAAGAGGCCAAGCTGGGGTAAATCCTTCCTCCTGTACTTCTGTACACATTTAAAAAACAAAACAAATCAAGCAACAATTCCACTGTTTTTAGGGGCCTATAATAACAATAAATTAACCATTCTAGAAACTTTTCTCTAAGGAACACTACCTCTGTAAAACCATACAACAGTATTAAAATTTCACCTGATAAAACACACTAAGTAGCATAAAGCAGTGGAGAAGATGAATAAACCATCATCTTAGTCCTGTGGATTACTTAAACATGTGTCACATTCCTAAGGAAATCCACAGCTGTGTTGCACAAGGCTATCCTGTCCCAGCTTAGCAATTCTCTTTTTTCAAGCTGCTTGTACCTTATGAAACTGATGAACCACATGCTTATGTTTAAGTTTTAATGTTTCTCTCCCCTTAAAGGGTGAGTGATCCATTGGTTTGTTTTTATTTCTTTTAAAAAGGGAAATCTGTAACTCTAAGGTCATTACAAAGTCCTGTGAACTGAAGGATCATGTATTTCATATGGTGCGGCCCAAATTAAATTTATTCCTCCATTTGCCACATTTTGTCCAAGAGTATCATAATCTTTGAGTAGGTCTTTACATTAGGCAAACTACAGAGACACTAAATCGATCCCAAGCTGGTTCACAGATGTGTTCACACCAGTGTGAGCTCTGCTCCCTCTAAGCAGACAGGACAGTCAACTGAGTAAAGAACATCAGAACATCACTCCATCCAACCCATTGTTTCAACACATCAAGAGGGTTCAGGTCAATTGAAGAAGCTTTTTTTTTTTTTTTTAATAAACCAGTATCTGACCTCCACAAGCCACCAGAAATACACTCTAGCACTCAGTTTTCAAAAGGTTTTACTTACTTGTATTTTAAGAGCAGCCACTGAACAAACCACAGTCCTACAAGGATCATGCCGTTGATTTCACAAATAGAAAAAGCCCATTGCACCCGATCAAAGTGATCGAAAAATGCATCTGGTAGGGGAGGCTGGACCTCCTTGGGAGGCACTCGTTCATGAACAACTGAGATAGTCACTGTGGTAAAGATGAAACAAGAAAGTGCATAAATAAAAGCCAGGAAAGTCTTGCCCCATTCCACAGGATACTGTGAGCACTCTGGCTCTGGCATGGGGATCTTTATCATCTCCTTCTTATACCCATTTGGCATCCCATTCAGCTTCATGCTAAAGCCGTTCTCATGTGGCGCATTGCTCATGCTGATGCGGATGTGCCCATTGACGTGCCCATTTTTGTGAGCCTCGATGTGGTGAGCCATTTTTAAAGTTTCAATCATGTGCAATAGCCGCTGTCCGCTGTCAGAAGACACCCGGGAGAGAGGTGTCTTCTTAAAATCCTCCTCCGTGAGGTTGATCAAATCCCGCCCGGTGAAGCTCTTCAATGGTTCACAATACTCCGGCACGGCATTTTCAGTTAGCCAATTCATCACCTCCTCGGGCGACCACAACACCACTTCTTTCATCTTGCCAGGCAGTCGGGGCACAGTCTGACATAAATTTTAAATCGGGCAGCAGTCACTGCGACTCCAGCGCATCAGAAAGCTCCTCCTTGGCTTCATCTTGTCCAAGGAAGTAGTTTGTCAAGAGGCAAGTCCCCATCTCTAACCATCTGATACGAGCATCCAGGCGCTGTGGCAAGCATAGGAAATGGTTCACTTCATATTCCTGTTGGCATTCTTCCTGGGGAGGAAGAAACAAACCGAAACCACAAATTTGTCATTAGAACAGCATTTACCAATAGTTTGCAATTCATGTTTAAAGACAAAATACTGCAAAAGAATATCTAGACTCTGGCACAGAAAAGACTGATTCAAGCGTCAGCCTTGCACACACAGCACTGTCCCTTCTGAGCTTGCTGCTGATTTCTCAAGAGCATTAACAGTTTTGTTAGAAACAACCACTTTGCAGCTATGGGAAGGACTTCTTCCTGCTCTATATTGGGGTAAATTTTCCATTAATGTGCAGCTTTGGCCCATAATTGGTACCCAAACTCCTTTCAAAATCATAACACTAATGGATTTAAGGATCTACAGAGCAAAAATTTAGTGTTATTCATGTCCCAAACCTTTGTGTTTCATTGCAGTGAGCAAAGCTGCTGCTGAGGAAAACCAAAATAATCTGCAGTACTGGCACAACTGGAGTAGAAGTGGTACAAAACAGATACACAGCTATGCTCCTATGCAAAACACAACCGTGCTCCACATAAATACATTTTTGGACCTGTTACCTCTAAACAGAGCAAAAAACACAAGGTGCATTTTTTAATCTGGAATGAAGCAGGGCTGGTAATTGAGAAAAGAAAAAGCTTTGGACACAGGACTGGCAGTACTTTGCGTATGCCACCTCTCACTTGCTGGGCACGCCATGCATGGACATGGATTTAAATCCACAGAGAAAAAAGGGATGAAGACGAGTATTTCCCCTTGTGAATTTCTGCGCTGTTTAGAACAGCAGAAGAGACAATACAGCTCTATTTTCTTTCTTTCTTTTTCTTTTCAGTGGGATTGTATGTACTGAGGAAGGCTTTTAGCCACTGGTCGCTTCATTATTCAAGTTGTGTTTAGCAAATTGGTATTTAGTTACACAGCTCCGAACATGGAGGGGGAAAAAAAAAAAAAAAGGACTGAATTATGCCTGTTAACCCACATTAGAAACTCCTCCAAGACTTTGACCAAAGGAGAGGAGCTCAGCTCTCCACCGTGCTGTTCTCTGCTGTAGTTGTGTTATCACAGGGCACCCGAAATCCTGGGTCTGGCATGAGCAATGGCACAAAGCTCAAGCACAAACCCCACATCCTTGCTCCATGCCAGGGAGAGTTGGTGTCAGCAGCACTTACTGGAAGATGTTTTACCTCCAGCTCCTCTTTGGCCTCAGTCCATGCATTCAGGGCGATGTCAGCCTTGAGCTACCTTGCTTACTGATGGCTGCAGCTGGACTTGCTGCAGACCAAGGAGACGGAAATGCCATCGCCTTTTTGATGTCTGCAATATTTCAACCTCAAGTAATTCTCACCAGTAATTCTCAACTCGGGGAATCGGTGTCCATGTGAAGGAAAATGCACACACACTTCCACGCTTGTCCTTGGGTTAAAGCTCAGGGTGAAATCCATGAGATGCAGAAACTCCACAGCATCAGATTTGCAACTAATGTGAATGGGTTTCTCTATGGGCTTGCTGTTTCTGAGAGTTATCTTGATAACGTCATTTATTTTTGAATCCTGTTACAACACCTGGGCTCTCGGTCTGCAGCAGGACCTCATTTTCCCTTGCCATTTAACAGCGACACGGGCTGCCTCTCCAAGTTTAGCTTTGCAAATTCAGCCTGGCTTTGGGGCTGGTGGAACACTCCATACACCACAAGGTGGGGCAATATTAAACCTTTTCCATTTTAAATGCCTGGAGTGACTGAATCACAGTTTCCTAAACCACTCAGAAAGGAGGAAAGCAGACCTTTAACCATTATCCTCCCAACTTACTGGCCTTTCTGGCCAGCCCTTGACAACACATTGCAAGCCTCCTGTGTGCTTGTAGAGTCAAGATGCCAAAGACACAGCGCAAAGAGCCGCATTCATGGCTGTTAAAGAGCCTGTAGCCAACCTTCAAATCATGTCTCCTTCCTTACCACGAACATACATCTCCTCCTGGTGCGACTAAGCTAGTATGTTTTAAGACGAACACTGTGAGGGGCCTAAAAGAACAAAAAATCTCTTGCCAGCTGCAAATATTACGCTGATACTGGCACAAGAGTTATAACATGCTGGTGTAACCCCATGATACCTGGCTTGGCATTCTTATAAGAAACAGCAAATGTATCTTGCAGTAAAGCTGCAAGGTTTAGCAATATTGCGAAGAACTACAATTAATTCAGAATTTGCTTGTGCTCTGAACTCACCATCAGTAATGCTATTAAAGGCACCACACAGAAGAATAAAGATTTCTCAACTCCAATTTTTATGTCGTTATAGAATATCAAATGTATCTCCTACAAGTCTCTGTTGGTTTTCAAAACAAGAAATCCCATCTTGCACACTTTCACCCCCACCTTGTCCTCTGTGAATGGATGGACAACAGTGGGATGGGGGTCAAGGAGCACGAAGCTACTGAGCAGAAAGCTTCAATCCTCACAGAAGGTGCTGCTGGGAGCAGAAGCGTAGCGCCCAGCCAAGCACAATCCCAGCCCGCTCCATCACAGTGCCAGCGTGTAAATCACTATCCAGCACCTTTTGTAAAAGCAGAGTAACTGATACTCGTGGGAGGAAGTCTTAGTGGAAAGATAATTGCCAGGGACACAGGCCATGGAGTTGTTTTCGTTGAGAGTTAAAATGAGGACAAACAACTAAAATTTCTAATGAATGCTGACCATTCAAACCTCCATTTCACAGCGTGTCTAATGGGGCACGAATAGGCAAAAAAGCTTCTTTCTTTACTAACACCTTCGAACTTGTCACATGAAAAATACCTTGTTTCTATTGTGTGTTCGTGAAAGCTTGAGCGGGTGAGGTTTGCAGAAACAATATGGAAGAATAAAAGCTCGCACTGGCCTCCTTGCTTCCACAAAAGGTCTTCTTCAGTCCACAAAAGCTGAAGACAGAAGGTGGAGATGGGCATCGGCTGCTGCCAGGCCACATCCACTGGCTTAGCTCAGTCCCACTGTCCCAGCAAGGCATGGGGACAGGTGTACACCCAAGCTCTGATACGGGCTGTTAGCCTGGGCCAGGCAACTAAACCGCTCCACCAGCCTGTATCTGATAACGAATTATAAATAACAATGCGATTATCATCATAATACCCATTGCACCATGATAATGATGCTGGGTGAAAATGGTATCTCAAAATACACACACCACAAGGCTGAGCACGATGCAATAACCTCAGTCAGCGTTCCCATCCCCACCTCCTTGTGTTCACACGATATTTTTCCCAGCAAACGTGAAAGTGCTAACTCAAAACTTGCAGATCCTTTTCCACTTTCCCCCCACTGCTTCAATCTGCCCATATGAGGGTTGCAATTCCATAACCACGGCCACCCCAGTGGGTTAAACAAGTATCCGAGAGTGCACGACATAACCTTGCATATCAAGATCTATTCTCTTTTGCACCGCTTTGCAGAGATGCGGTTGGGCAAAAGGACTGAACGTGGGGGCATCCACCTCTTTGGTTAAAGAACAAGATAATCAGCAATAAAATCATCAGCTGGCTGCACCTCCACACTTGACTTGGTGGCCAAGGTGCAGAAAACTCGGCAGTTTTCGGCGTCTAGGTCTGCTTGGAGGACAACTAAGCACTCGCGTTGGACGTCACTGTTCCAGATTGAGTTTCAAAGTCCATGGGCTCACCGCTGAGTCAATGACAGACATCTCCTGAGATGTTGTCTGGGATGGCTGCAGGGTCCACGGAGCAGTAAACTCGCTCAGCCGTCCTGGAGCTGGCTTACAGGTTAACATGCCATTCCCTACTACCTCTCAACTTGTAAGCAGAAAGCATTACAACTCACAATTAACATCGATGAGATGGAACCACATCCACCCAAAACAGCAAAAAAAAGACCTCCAAACACAGTTTGTTCATCTCCGGTCTCCTCCAAAAGCACTCTGAAACCTGAAAACCCAAGTCTTCCCAAATCAAGTAATGCCTTCCTCATGTTTATATAGTGGTTTTTATTCACTAAGCAAAGACCTTTACTGCCAAGGCAACAGTCACTATAGAAATCAGTAAAATAACCAGCCATTTCAGAAACCGCAGCGAGCTCCTCACCGGCAGCCAAGGAGATTTTCATATCCCTTCAGAAGCAGTGGGTGTGTGTTTCAGCTGCAACACTGAGCATCCTTCCCAAACACCCCAGAAAAGTTGAGATGATAAAACCATTAGCAAAAAATAAGTACCAAAATGAGCAAAGTCCAGGGATGCACAGTTTGAAGACTGCTTAAAATTAAATAGTGACATTTTCTGCCTTGGAAAACAAACGCTGAGGTGCATGCAGATTACGTGTGCACACACATAAGCAGGAAAAAAATTCAACTGCTGTAACAACTTGAATTTTTAACGTTTTAGAAACCAACCCGCAAGTAAATTCCCTGAACTCCCAGAAATCAGAAGTTACATGGAGACCAAATACTCCAGATGAAAGCCGGGAGCTCTCATCCTGCATTTTCACAGCACAAACCCAACAGTTTGTAACAGCAGGGTCTGAGTCAGTGCTACAGTCACCTCCTCTACGGGCATTTTATCATCACTAATACTAATGCTCTAAGAGCTCAATAACTAGACATCTTGTACTTGCAAAGGACCTCTGCACGCCAATTTGCAACGAAATGGTGATGCCTGCCACAAATTACGTGCTGGATATCACTAACGAGCTCTCAAGCAATGTATATTTATGTAAACATAAACATATGCAAATACAAAATATCTGCAAGTATAAAATCGAAGCACAGATGGGCTCATGAGTTTCACGGAGCTCCGAGATAGGTTTACAAGGTCAGTCCCAGCTGTAAAACATTGTCCTGCGGACACAAAGATGGAGCAAGTAGAATTACTACTACGAAGAGAGAGGCTGGGATCAATATGTGAAGCAACGCCCACGCACTCTGA